ACCACAGACCTTCACAGAAAGGTTTTGCTAATGTGGGCAGCCCAAACCCGAGGCTGAGAGTAGGAGGCGAAAAGAAATACAGCTGGAGGAGGAGGAAGGCGCAGGGAATTCCTCGCTGTGCTCTGTCTGCACAAGTCAAGGACCCCAAAGGCAGGGGTCCCTATCCTTTCTCTGACCATCCAAACTACGGTGAGAAGACAGGTAAGGACCTCAGTCCCACTCAGGAGAGAAAGGCGGGACGATGTCTGCGCTGACTGCACTGAACGTTCTTTTCTTTGGTTTCACCTCAGTAGCGTCCGAAGCCTGTGTCAGGCGTTTTCCCCGTGGCAGCGAAGGTGTTGGCCATGGCAGATCTCGACACGGGTAAGGGCTTTGGAATCACATGCTTATGGCTTAGAGACTGTCATTGCTCCTCTGTGAGATTCAGGCAGTCTGCTCAGTGTCCATGGTCCTTGTCTTCTCATCTGAGAGATGGGATCCCAGTTCCCACCACACAGATGTGAGGACTTACAAAGCAGTGCAGATAAAGCGTTTGGCCTGGAAGTCTGGGGCAGGGCCTCAATAAAGGCACAAGGGAAGGACGAGGGCTTTATTTGCTTAGGGGAAAACAAACCGGGAGCCAGAGACCCTGGGGCAGGAAGTACCGTCAACCAGACACAGGGAGGTGAGGCCTTGCATGCAGGAAGAGGGAGGCTACTGAGGTGGAAGCGAGACACAGTCCCAGAGACTCCTTGCTCCTCGCCTTCAACTGTTTTAGGAACCTGGGTGAACATTTTAAGGAGAAATGGTGAAGCAAATCAGGACGGTACAAACTCAGATGCTGGTAAGTACGATGAAGAACAATGAGCGGAAGGGAGCCCCGGTGTGAGAGCTGGGTGTGGAACACGCGCGCCCGCACCCGGAGAACCTGGACAGGAGACTGGCCCTGAGGGGGAACGCAAGCTTGGCGCTTACTCAGACAACACAGACCAGCACGGCTCCGCAGGGGGCAGGGGCAGGGGCAGGGCGTTGGGGGAGGTGGTGGCCTGACTGGCCACTGGGGTAGATAACCAGCTGGTGACGGCTGATGGGAAATGGGCACAAGAAGAAAGTGAAACATTTTTCCTGCGGTTCAAGAAGTGCATCTGGCGCCTTCGCTTTCCTTTTGAAACTTGGGGCAGAGCTAAGATCAGAGGGGGCCGGCCGGGGAGAGAGGCTGGAGACTTACACACAAGCGAGACAATCTTTTCCCTGACTGGTGACAGACAGCGCAGACCCAAGCACTCAGAAATCTGAAAATGAAGGGTGGCTTAAAGGTTTCCTTTCTCACTGCAACCACTGTCAGACAGCTGGAAAATCTTAATCCCGCCTAGAGCTAAAACCTGGGAACATCCTGAAGAGGACAAGGGCTCTCCTAACCCAGCACAGATGAAACGCCTGTCACAGTCAGTTTTTAGGAAGTCGGAGCCTTCTCATGTTTTACTCTTGCAAGCCCGAGTCTTACAGGTAGGGGGGCAGGAAGCGCTTCTCTAAGGAGACTGGGTAAGTGGTGCAGAGGGCCAAGAAGACAAGGGACACAGTTAGCAGGGAGGGTGGAAGCCGACTGGAGCGGCTGGCCTCAGCAGTGTTTTCTGGCAGACTCCACAGACAGGCTTGGTTTTTTAAAGCGCCAGAAAGCCACAGATTTGCATGTTATTTGCGTTCCAGGCTTCACTTTCAGGTATGTGGAATGAAATACATGAATGAACAGTATTCAGACTCCTGGTTAAGGGGTGGACTTAGAAATCCAGGCTACACTGGGGATCCAATCACTGCCCCAGCTTGGATCAGGAGACACTGACAGAGTGACAGACCAGTGACAGAGACAGAGAGACAAACACCAAGTACTCTTTACCAGGGACCTTCCAGTCAATGCAAGGAAGCAAGATCCACAGATTTATTTTAAATGAAACAAATCTTTTAAAATGAGGGCAAGTCACCCGCAGGCAGGTAAAAGCAGCTTCCTGTGACCTGATGCCACCTCTGCTCCCACATCCTCCGCTCCCAGCTTCAAGTAGAACCAGGGGTCGGAGTCGGCTTAGGCTCCCAAGTCAGGAGAAGTGTAAGCACCACAGAGTGTAAGACGCTGAGGACAAGGTCAGTGGGCCGACACAGCACAGCGCGGCTTTCGGTGTCTCGGGCAAACCATGCTTTCACCGCACGCGTTGGAGCCCCCACGCTCAGTGCCGAAACACGTGGTGAAACCACCTTGAAAGGGTTTCCCGTGAGTTTCAAGTCTTTTTTTTTTTTCTTTTCCCATATGGGGCGTCAAACCCAGCACCTTTGCTCCAAGCTACATTCCCAATCCTTTAGAAAGTGTTTTAATTTTGGGACAGAATCTCATTAATTTGCTACGTTTTTCGAGCTAGTCTCAAATTTGGTATCCACCTGCCTCAGCCTCCCAGCATGCTGGGATTAGGTGTGCACACCCCATACACAGCTAACGTGCTTTAGAAAGGCAAGACAGAAAGAAACCCAGAGCCTCACTCTACGATGTAAAGTATCACTGCAGTAAAAAGGATAGAGAGAAAAAAACTAAGAGAAATGTGTGGTGTAAAAAACAAACTGTTAAAGCCTGACAACAGAAAGCCTGAGAACCCCGAAAGTAACACTAAGCTGCTGAGGAAGGGGATTAGGTCAAGGGCAGAGTGGGGGCCTGGGTGTCAGAACCATGTGGGGCCACAGAAGAGCGGCAGGATGCCATGAGCAGTCCCCTCACGCTCCGCCCTACGAAGCTGTCATCTAAGTCAGCGCTCAACACAGTGACCCCTACTTCCTCCTGGGCAGGCCAGAAAGCAGACAGCGTGCACCCCTGCTTTGAAAAAAAGCGCCAATCACCCGCCTACTCCTGGACGTGACACGTCTCCGTCCACTCCTCACTGGAAGGGATGCCAGTACAGACACCACACGGGGAGTATCACTTCCTAATTATAAGGGAGGCGGATGTCCAGATGACAGATGTTATGCCCAGGACCGGCTCGAGGAGATGGAGCCTGGCTGAGGGTGCTCAGCGCGTACTTGCGAAAGGAGAAACCAACGCGCACACGTCACGGGACGCGCACAGAATGGGCTCAGCGCTTCGCGCCGTTCCCCCATACTCTCTGCTAGCACTGTGTCCCTTCAAGGCCAGGGTGACCCGTTCTGTCCCAGGATTGAAAACATTTTTCAAGGACTGGGAAAGTACCTTCGAGCAAAGGCGCTGGGTTTGACGCCCCATATGGGAAAAGAAAAAAAAAAAAACTTGCCTTACCTGAAACTCACGGGAAACCCTTTCAAGGTGGTTTCACCACGTGTTTCGGCACTGAGCATGGGGGCTCCAACGCGTGCGGTGAAAGCATGGTTTGCCCGAGACACCGAAAGCCGCGCTGTGCTGTGTCGGCCCACTGACCTTGTCCTCAGCGTCTTACACTCTGCGGTGCTTACACTTCTCCTGACTTGTGAACCTAAGCCGACTCCGAGGCCAGCAACTGACAGCTACGCTTCACCTCAGAAGGGAGAAATCCGCATTTGGTCAAGGGGCTGAGGTAGGCTTCAGCTCTAAACCCACGCCAGTGTTAACACTGGCCTCACATTTTAACTTGAACCACAGGCTTCTACTCAGCAGTGAATCTTAGTTTGACAAGATCCTGGACATCTGGTCCGGCCAGTCACACACTGACACGTCCCCACCCGTCCCCGACAGGCCGCAGGCAGCCTGCACTCGGGGGCCATCTCTGAGCTGACTCGCCCGGCTTCCTCTCTCCTGCCACGGGGCTGCGTGTGGGAGCGCTCCCTTGTTTCAGCGCCGGCCCCTCCCCTGCCATTGCCCTAGTAGGAAAGGCGGTCGGTCGTGTGTTCTTCATAGACAGCTGTTAGAGCTCAGCAGGGAAGAGGAAGGGAGGACGCTGAGCTGGGCCTTACTCGCCCCTTCCCAAATTTTGGGATGAATTTGATGCTGTGCAGACACAGCTCCTGGGCAGGAAAACATGGCACCCAGGAGCTCAGCCTCTAAGTTAACAAGGATGGCGAGTGTAAAGCTCCTTTTCTGAGTTACCTGGTACGCGACCTTCCGGGGAGAAAGCATCTTGTTCTAGCTTGTCTTTACCCCTCCAGAAGCAAGGGAAAAGTCAACCCCAAGTCAGTCTCTCTTACTCTGGTAAGACCTATCTTCAGAGCTGAGCAGATGGCACAGACCAGAGGCTGACGTCAGAAACACTGGGGTCTTTCATAAACCCTCTCCCCCTCTACCAAGTAGTCTGCAGGATGGGGTTGGCGGAAGTGTTTTTCTAGCTACCTGTTTGTACCTCAGAACCCCTAACCCTAACCCAACAGTGCTGGGGTCAGTGGGTAGAAAGTGCTAGCTCCACTGCAGTGCTCAAGAAGAGAGAAGTTACCACCACTTTCAAGTACGGCTCTTGCACACAGAGGAGCGAACTGAGCTCCCCAGGCTGGCAGGGCAAGTACTCTTCCATTCAACTCTACACAGGACTTCCGGTGACAAACGGGATAAAACGAGCCTCCGGGCCTCGTACTGTAGGTTCTCCAATGGGCAGAAGTCTGGTTTTCTCTATGAAATGTCCAGGAGTGACTGCTGCGACTGATTTCTGCTGAAGGCTGATTTGGCATCTACTGCTTATGATCACCCCCAGCCCTCCTTTCTTAAGGGAGGTAGATAATTACGTACACCGAGCGCGGAGACGGAAAAGCAGAAAAGGAAAGCCATAGGCGTGGTTTCAAGCAGATCGAACAATATACTGGCACCATGGCCCAGGCCACGAGAGCAGAAACATCGTTTTTCAGTCCCGGTCGTCAAAGCTCATCCCTCTCGTCTTACCTTTGCTGAGCAGCGCTCTGAAGTCAACGCCCACTGTGCGAGTCTGTACTTGGTTCCCATGAAGCCACCAGGGGCCACAGCCTGGCCCACCGCGACCAGGGCTGGTGTGCTAGTGCGGCCTCAGGGTCTCTACCTGACCTCGTACAAAACCGAACTGGAGACGCGGGGGCCAGGTTCAGACAGGCTCAACAGTTCCTTATATATTTTGCAAAGTGCTTTTGTTCTATGCTTCATCTTCTGCTATACATGGCAATAAATATTTGTTACTTTGGTCTGTACAAAAAGTTTCTGAGGAAGGTAAGACATGTTATCTAAATGAACAAACAATAAATAAATACAGAGAACTATCTTGTTATGAGCCCCCAGACAACAGTAAGTGAGCCTGGAAAATTCAAGTCTTTTGATTCCGTCGTCCAAATCTTACCACACTGCCACCTTTAAGCTGTCATTTAAGTGCAGTAGGTACCAAGAATCAGACAGTATTCCAAGAGCCCCACGGTGAGTGTGCATGCCACAGCTTCCTAGGAGAACGTGAAGAGTCACAGCAACTCACAGACAGAAAGCTATTTATTTCCTATGGGAGAGGGAGAAGGAAGAGGAAGGTGGGGGAGGGGAGGAAGAAGGGGAGGAGGGAAGCAAGACAGTGGAAGAGAGAATGCACGAGAGAGACAGGGAGAGACAGGCAGAGAGAGGGAGAGAGAGGGAGAGCGGGCGAGCACGGGGAGGAGGGGGAAGGGAAGGAAGGAGACACACAAGGGTAGTCCTCCCCCAGAAGGCAGGCAGTTATGAAAAAGGTGGGACAACTGGTTGCTGGAGTGGAAACAGTAACATTCAGTTAACAATGGAATATTTAAAAAAAATAGTTTTCTTTTCAAATTGTAACTTGTGGTAAAACATAGAAAAATGTACTAAACAAGCTTGGTATAAAACAGAGTAAAATTTTCAAATAAGCCCAGGGAGAAAGCACAATGCTGGAAAGGATGGGTACAAGGGTAGGGGAGAAAATATTTTATACAAAACTACCTATTACAATACAGAAAAAAGTATAAAACGTTCCTATTGTGGAACTTCAGTACAAAATGACACTGGCGTTGGATCATTTCACTATCTAAGCCTTAAGAGCTCTCAGCGGGGAGATGCTAGAAGAACAAAAGGAACAGCAATTTGTAAATCTCAAGTCGATCAACTCCACCCGTTTTTTCAGCTGAAAATCTTATCCCATCAATAACATCTACCCCTAAGCCAAAGGTCATCCAGGCCTCAAAATATTCTGTTAGGAAGTCCACAAACACCCTACACATAAGGGCTGGGATCTCTGTGTGCTAGAATTTGGAAAATGAAAATAAATCTACAGGCTAACTGGTGAACACATTCAGTCTTTTTTTAAAAAACGCATATCCCTGTGATGAATACATATACATATTCCGTGGTTAGAGACATATTTAAACTAGCCACAGACCAACTGGACCTGGATCCATCCAACACTGGAATTTTATGCTGAAGACTGAGGCCCTTCTTCTTGGTCAGAAGCAGGCAACATTAGCAATGGGGCTTTTGTTGTTCCACCGAGCCTTCCCTGGGTGGGTCCTCCCTGTAGCACGTGTGCTCAGCACATGCAAACCCCTGCTCTCAGGAAAGGACTGCCTGGACTTTGGAGTCTGCCTGTGTTGTGCCTCAGGATGTAATGGAACTGCTAATACAGTCTTGTAGGGAAGTAGTTAGGTTTCACATAGGGGTGTATAAATAGGAAGGGTCCTGAAGGCAGGGACGTCCGTATACGCCCCGAAGTCCAGCTGACAGTCACTCTCCCGACTGCATCTCGAACACCATGTATGTGTATGTGCATGGATATGCTGGTGGTTTCGTCCCTCCTGTGACCATGCCCTTTGCTACTTCTTAGTAAGGCCTAGCAACAACAGTTTACAAGAAACCAAGATTCTTTCCAAGCCTTTCCCAGTCCCCTGATCAGGAACTGAGTGAGGCTGGAGCCCTCTGAAAACAAGATGGCAGAACTGAAGAAGTACAAGTGGTCTCTCTTCAGCTTAGGGATGCCCCTCACCCCCTTCACAGCACCAAAGTTTCTTTGCAAAAATAGTATCTGAGATACAAAAGGAAAGGCAGATGTGCTTGTGAATGCATCTTGCCAGGGCCTGGTCCAGGATCAAGGGCTACACGGAACAGAGGGTTGAGAGCAGCTGTTTCCAAGGTCTCTGGCTGTAGACAACAAAGGGCTGGTCCCCCACAGGTCAGTGTCTGCTTGCTGAGGCAGTCCTCATAAGAGCTTTCGGTGCAGGATCTCCCAGACCATCCGCTTCCGGAAGTATGGCATGTGTTGCTGCAGGGACACAAAGATACTCCTCATTTTCACTTATCTAGTCCCAGTACGCCTTTCCCATACTCCTTTTGTTAAGATTTTCAACTAACAGTCTCAGTGCATTTCTAGTCTTCCGAATTGTGCATTCTTGGTCACATGTGGCATTTTCTTTCCACTGCTTTTTTTCTACTGTTATTTCTATTGCTATTTTCCATTGCTGTAGCCTTGTAGGTTATAATAGGCATGACCATGGCCATGACTGAATTCTCTTAAGAATTTTGAAAATGGTGTTTATGAAGTTCTCAATGTTGAATTTTTAAGAGAGGATGTGAGATTCAGGTTTGAAAATGAAAAAACTCACTTTTTAGGGGAAGAGAGGCAAGAATTTAAGAGCTCAATCTGACCTACACAAAGGATGATGGCAGAAAAAACTGAAAAAGTCACTGATTCAAACAGAAGTATCAAATAGCTCCCAATAAGCCATAATCCATTTTGGTCTGTGTGGGATGAAGTATACAGAAATGACCAATCATAGACCTAGAGAAGACTGACCAGCTGCATCAAGTGAGGAGACATTTAACAAACGGTACCATCACATCAAGGTACGGCCTATTCCAGAATGAAGCCCGGGAAACAGAAAAAGACTTGTTCAGGTTTCACTTCCGTTTCCTACAGGACAGTGGTGGCAATCCTCTGGCACGTGAGCCACAGCAGGCACACAGAGCCCTCTCTGCCACAGCGAGCCACCCCAGCAGCTGAGCACCGCACATTCAGGTTTAACTGCAGACTGGCACTTTGGAATAAACAGCGCCTGGGTTGCAGTTTGGACACTTGGTCTCTAAAAATTTCACTGTGTACTGCATATAGCATTTCAGCTTAGGAATGCTCCTCATCCCTTTCATACTACCACAGTGTCCTTGCAAAAACAGTAATTTGAGACAGGCTGACACTAGTAGGTTTTAAACTAACTACTAGTTTATTGGTTTCAGGTAGGTGGGGGAGACAGGCAGAAATTAAGGCTCTGTCTTATGTGGTACTGGGGATCGAACCCAAGGTCTTACACACGTTAGGTAACAGATCTATTACTGAGCTATATCCCCAGCCCTCTCTCTTTATGTTTTGAGACCCAGTCTTCATAAGCTGCCCAAACTAGCCTCAAGTGGTAATCCTCTTGCCTCAGCGTGCAGAGCAACTGGGGTTAACAGGTGTGCACCACAGGCCCAGCTAAGGCTCTTCTTTTAACCAGGATTCCTTTGTGACATAAGGTAACCCAGGATGTAACCTATCACTTTCTTCCTTTGTGATGTGTTATCAATGTATGATCACAGCTCAAAGCACACTGAAGATTAGGAAGCAGGACCTAAAAGAGCAATCCTTCTTAAACCCCAACCCTTATCTCTAGCTAGAACTGGTTCTTGTATAGGTAAGATTGCCGACTATGTCCTGTAAACAGAGTCTATGTCATCTTATTCCTATCTTATTCTTGAAGGATTTATAAGGCTCTGTCTTCCTTCTTCTTTTTTTTCTAATTGGTTTTCTGAGACAGGGTCTTGTTACACAGTTTAGTCTGGCCTTGAACTCACAGTGATCCTCCTACCTCAGCCTCCTGAGTGGTGGGATTACAGGCGTGCACCACCACACCCGGCTTTGTCTTCTTTCCAGGTCAAATTACTAATTGTCTTGCTTCTCTACCCTCGCCCCCCAGTTTCTGAATAACATCCTCCTCAGCCAAAGGACTAAAACTAGAACCTTGTCTTTGTCCTCATGTCCAGCATGCTGGACATGAGCTTGACCCAGCTGATGCGCGTCTAAACTCCTGGAAGTAAACCCTCCTCTTCCCCACTGGTCTCTCCGAGCTCTTAGATCCTGCGGTGTCAGGCAGCGTTCCCAGAAGAGAACAGACAAAGAGGAGATGAGCAGCCTGGAGACCAGGTGGTCTTCCAGCTCCCTCCTGAAGGTACAGCTCACCTGCGTGAAGTTGATTGGTCTGTCTTTGGTAATACAGTCAGCATATTTACAGGCAAACATCCCACAGTCACTTCCATTCATCTGCTGTGGAATTTCCTGAAAGAACAAAACAATATGGTGCTATCCTTGCAAGCTTTTTTTCTTCTCAGATTAAAAAAGGAGAGCCAAAGCTCAAAAATCTTCTGTATTTCCCTGACTTATGAACAGATGACACTACCCTGTCCCCTACTCAGAAGTTCAAAGAACAAATACAGCATTTCAGTAGGGCCTGTGTATTTAATATAAAGTCCTCGGGAGGGTATCTCAGACTTCCACGCACCTCAGGGTATAAAAACTGGCCCTGTACCCTGGGCCAAATAATCAGCAAATGTTTCCTATAGGAATGAAAAACTCATCAAAGTAGCTTTCCTTTCAGAATGCTTAGTTCTACATTATAAACTTCCCCAGAGATAAACCTGTCTGCCCCAAGGAATCAAACAAGTCCCTAGCAAGCAAGGGACGCACCCTTCTCTCCTGGAGCCTACTTCTGGGACTCTGCCAAAGCAAGACGAAAGGTACCTGGCTTTTCTTGCTGAAGAGCTGCCAGCCATTGGTGTCAAACTCCTTCCTTTTCTTGTCAACGCTTTCTTGCTTTAAGTATTGCCTGAAGGTGGCAGAAAAGAGTGAGATGAGCTCCGGGCACTCTGGTGACAGCTGCTGCCCTGGGAAGGGGCCGGCAATCCCAGCGAGTTTCACGTGCTCGGAGGAAACCAGCTGTACATGTGCTGGGCAAGGGGTCCCCGGGCTGCTAAGCCTCCCCTGGGGAGCTCACCTTGCCTTTACAGTTCCCACAGTCAACTCGACCGGCCAGGGGCAGGACTTCGACCTCTGACGCTTCTGCTCCACCAACCTACTTTTTTCTTTTTCTGTACTAGGGATTATACCCAGGGTTTCCTGCACATTAGGCAAGCACCCTACCACTGTCCCACACTCCTGGCCCTTTTCATTTGAGATGGGGTCTTGCTAAGTTTCCCAAGCTGGCTACAGACTTATTATTCTCTTGCCTTAGCCTTCTGAGTAGTTGGAATACAAGAATGTGCCACATTGCCTGATATGAAGAATAATTTCTGATTCTTCTCCTCGGTTTATGTAATTCTTTAGAATACAATCTAATGGATCAAAGTGTTTCTCTAGCAGTATGGAGATACTTATTTACCACTGCTAGCCTTGGCTCTCCTGTGTGAAAATCCAATCCAAATAAATGTATTGAGTGTATACTTCATACAGTACTCTTCCAAAGTACAAAATGCTCACCATCTGTTCCCTAACCTCCTCCTGGTGACCGCAGTGGTACAGTGAGGAACAGGAGCTTTGAAAGGAGACACAGGTGGGGATACAGAGATCTGCACTCTGGCTCCTTGCTAAGCCACTCACTAGAGGGACCTGGGCAAATCAAAGTTGCCTCTGTGGACTTTGGTTTCCTCATCTGGTAAATCAGGAGTTGAATTAAATGATTTCTAAGTACTAAACGGTGACTATATCTCTACCTATGTATCTACTCTATATTTTCATGTACTAGGACAGTAGTAGGCTTTTCTACTGTCCCATGTACTAGGACAGTAACTGCCCCAACTAAGGCAAATTTTTGGTATTATTCGATTATTATTCAACTTAATTTTTAAAAAAAAATTTACTTTAAAGAGAAAAAACCCAAAATTTCAAAACAAGATAATAGAAGAGCAACAATGGTTAATACATTGTGTACTTTTACCTCTAAATTAGTTACTCAGAGTAGAGGATATAGGCATTTAATTGTCCAAACAATATGAGCACAAACTTTTCTTTTCAATGAATGAAGAAAAATTAGTAGTATGACTATCTTATCTATCTTGTATATACATATATATACATATATTTATTTCCTTTTTCCCTTCCTTCTCCTTTCCCCCATTCCAGTTTCTCTTTCCTTTTTAACGGTTTCTTCCCATTTCACAGTATCTTTTGAACATTCTGGATCTTATTTACTCTTTCAGCTTCTCACACTATGGAGACAATACCGTGTTTACACATGTGGGTCTGATTTACTTCACTTATGAGTATGGTCTCAAACTGCATCCATTTACCTATAAAAGTCTCCAGTTTATCCTTCTTTGTGGCTGAGTAGTACCCCACTGTATAAAAAGACCACATCTTTTTTACCCGTTTCACAGTTGATGGGCATTTGGGTTGTTTTCAAGATCTAGCTATTACAAATTGTGCTGCTATAAACACGGGCGCACATATATCGCTGTGGTATGATATTTTTAATTCTTCTGGGCAGATACCTAGCAGGGGAATAGCTGAGTCAAATGCGACCTCTAATCCTAGTTTTTTAGGAATCTCCACAGTGATTGCACCAGTCTACACTCACACCAACAGTGTATTAAACTTAAATTAAAATATCCATTCTTAATACTAAGATTTTATTAAGCACTCTCCTAAAGATACTGAACAGTTGAGTGTAACTGCTAGAAAAACACAGCACATAACAAACCCCAAACTTCTGGTCTCAGCGCCTTACTTACAGGAGGATCCTGCAGGCTTCATTGTTTATCCCACCCATAGAATCGTAATAGGTAATATTCTTCTTTCTAAAGTCTACAACCTGAGGATAAGAAAAAAAATCTGTGTTTATAAAGTGAAGAAAGTTGTTTCTCAGCTTTTCTTTCCTTTGGCCTTTGAATCCTTCTGCCAGCCTTCCTGTGAAATCATGAGAAGTCTGACTGATACTTTGCTTAATCTGCAGAGGAAAAGAAAAGGGGGCTATTTATACGGAACTATGCTGGGGGCTGATCAACTGGTAGACAGACCTATTACTGCCCTGAAACTTTTCCTATTGTTCAGTTTCTTCCTCCCCAAGGTAGGCTACAGCAAAGAAACAACATGTAACTTAAGAATCTCAAGATCATTTCCACAAAGTTTTGGGAACACAGTGAAAAGATTCTGGGTTTTGCTGCTTTATCTTTAGAATTCTTCTCTGGATTATGCTTTCTGAATGCAGTTTAAAACAGACTGTGTTTAACTTTTATAAACCCATTAAGCTAATGCATCTGTATGGTCAGTCAGGAAACACTGAATTACATACGCAAGGCCAGCTCTGATTAGGCAGAAAAGAGTCACAGAATTGGGCTGGCAGCTTCACTTGGAAGTTACTTTTTCTCCTTGCCTTGAGGCTGTTTAAATACCCAATAACTCCCTTTTAAATATTTCCAGAAAAGGAAATTCTACAGCTTTCCTCAAAGTCTAAGTATTTCTCACTCTAGACAGAAAGTTTAATGATTGGATTTTTCAGCCAACCTACTACAGAACACTATTCTTTCTTTCAATAATCAAGGGAAGATGTAGATGATGTAGGACTAATGGCTTCTTGGCCTTTTGGCTAAGATTAAGTGTAGAAGATGTAGAACTACTACTTACAACCCTGTGTGTTCTACAATTATGCAGATTTCTTTAAATTCTTATCAAAAGTAAAGGAAGTACTCACAGCTAGACACCAGTGCACTCCCAAGTGGATGGGCACCAGAAGAATGTCAACAGAAAACACATCCACTTTCTTTGTCCAACGCTTCACTGCCTGGTAACCAGCCGTCTTTAACTTGGTGAAGAAGAAGGTGTTGAATGCATGCACACTTGGCAACCCTTTCTCTTTACTTCTCTCCATTAGCATATTCATGTAGAAATTGATGATCTGTGAGGAGAAATCACACATTACAGCAACATTCAAAGCCAGTTGTGTTATAGAAGCACAACTGCTGAATCTGGGCATGGGTGTGGTGGCGCATGCCTGTAACCCCAGCACTCAGAAGACTGAGGCAAGAGGATCACCACTAGTTTGAGGCCAGCCTGGGCTCCACAGTGAGTTCAACACCAGCGTGGACTACATACTGAGATCCTGTCTCAAAAAACCAAAAAGAAAAAAGAAAAAAAAAAGAAAAAAAACCAGCAGCTGCTATGTTGAACAGGGTATGTTATTGTTTCCTCATCAATTCAGTTAAGGCTTCAACACCTAACAGCCTCATCACATAAACAGAAGCAAGGTCAAAACCTTATGATCGTAACAGTAAGTGCAGAAAAATCTAACACCTCTTCATGACAAAAATTCCAAAGAAAACAGATATAGAAGGACCATGCCTGAATGGGATAAAGGCTATTCATGACAAACAGCCAACATCATAGTAAATGAAGAAAACTAAAAGCATCTCCCTAAAATCAGGAACATAACAAGGATGCCCACTATCACTTCTTCTGTTCAACACAGTACCTGGAACATTAGCCACAGCAAGCAGACAAGAGAAAGAAATAAAAGGGATACATACTGGAAAGGAAGAAAAAAAAAGGAAGAATTCAAATTATTTGCACATAATATGACACTCGAAGAACGTCACCAAAAAGCTCTTCGAATTCCTAACGAACTTCAGTCGTGTAGCAGGACACAAGACCAACACACGGAAGTCACCAGCATCTGTGTACAGCACCAGTGAACAGATGACAAGGGAATCATGAAAAGAATACCACTCACAGTAGCTTCAAGGAAAGTGAGATACCTAGGATTTAACCTCGCCCAAGGAAAAGCCTCTACAAGGAAAACTACAAGAAAAAACCTCTACCAAGAAATTACTCCGAAAAAGGAGATTGAAGAGGACATCAGGAAATGGAAAGATGCCCCCTGCTCCTGGGCAGGCAGTCAGTATTTTCAAAATGACTATACTTGCAGAACTATTATACAGATTCAATACAGTCCCACTTAAAATACCAACAGTATACTTCAAAGATTTAGAAAAAAATCCTAACATTCATCTGAAACCAGAGGAAACTCAGGCTAGCAAAAGCAATTTTGGGCAACAAGAGCAAACAGGAGGCATAGCAATTCTTGACTTCAAGCTATACTACAAAACAATAGTGATAAAAATGGCATGGTACTGGAACAAAAACAGATGCATAGATGAATGGGACAGAACTGAGGATACAGAAACTTCCCCAGACACATCAACTACTTGATCTTTGACAAAGGGGCCAAAAGCCTATGTTGGAGGAAAGACAGCTTCATCAATAAGCGGTGCTAGGAGAACTGCTTATCTGTGTGCAGAAGATTGAAACTGGCCCCTTATCTCTCATCATACACTAAATTAAAATCAAAATGGATCAAAGATCTAAACATTAAAACAGAAACACTAAGCCTACTGAAAGATAAAATATGTAAAACATTTGAACATGTAAGTACAGGAAAGGATTTTCTAAACAGAACCTCAAGTGAACAAGAAATAACAGCAAGAATCAATAAATGGGATTACATCAGACTAAAAAGCTTTTGCACAGCAGAAGAATCAATCAGTAAAGAGACAGCCTACAGAATGGGAAAAATTCTGCCAGCTGCTCCTCAGACAGAGAATATCTACAATATACAAAGAACTAAAAAAAATTAAGTCACCTAAAATTAAATATCCAGTCAAAAAATGAGCAAGAGAAATGAACTGAGACTTCACACAGGAAGAAATACAAATGGTCAACAAATATATGAAAAAAATGCTCAACATCTCTGGCCAACAGAGAACCACAAATTAAAACAATGCTAGGATTCCATCTTACTCCAGAAAGAATGCCAATCAATAAGAAATCAAACAACTGCTGGGCATGGTCGCGCATGCCTGTAATCCCAGCACTCGGGAGGCTGAGGCAGGAGGATGGTTCCAAGTTCAAGACCAGCCTGGGCTACAAAGTGAGCTCAAGGCCAGCCTCAACTGTCTCAAAAAAAAAAAAAAAAAAAAAAAAAAAATCGAACAATAGCAAATTCTGGTGTGGCTGTGATGAAAAAAAGCAACCCTCCTTCATTGCTGGTGGGAATGTAAACTAGTACAACCATTATGGAAATGACTATGGAGATTTCTCAAAGAACTGGAATTAGAAATTTAATAGGTCATCTTCCCCAAAGAGCTTAAAACATCCTACCACAGAAATACATGCATACCAATGTTCATTGCAGCACAACTCGTAACAGTAAACCCTGGAAGCAGTCTGTATACCCTTCAATAGATAACTGGATAAAGAAAATGTGCTATCTATATACAGTGGAATACTACCCTGCTATGAAGAATGACAGATCTGAGGCATTTGTAGGAAAATGGATGCGCCTCGAAAATATAATGTTGAGTGAAATAAATCAGATACAAAAGCTTAAACAGTGTGTGGTATCTCTCATTTAAGTGAGGCAAAGTACAAAGAAAGAGAATAGAAAAGGATACATAAAAAACTAGGAGATGGATCTCTTGAGATAGGGAAGTGGTCCCAGGAAAAAAGTACATAGGATGAGGGGGAAGGAAGAGGGAAAGTAGAATAAAGACATGTCATGCACAGGAACCTAATGACCTCAATTAATGTAAACATTATATGTCATAACATGAGCTACAATTAATAACACCAACAAAAAGGAAAAATGGGACGGGGAACTGGAGGCGGGGGAGAAGTTGTGGTACGGACATGTAATCGCTCCAAAGATGACTGTACACCGCGTGAATTCCAAACATGCGCTAATAAAAAAATCCTGTCACCAACAAGAGATGAAAATAAAGAAAGCGCAGTTGTGTTGAATAGCACATACTACTGTTTCCTGATCAACCCAGCTGACCTGAACACTCAGCAGCTTCACATCCCTGCATGAACGTGTAGCTAGAAGGAAGGAGCTGAGGCAGTTATGAACAATGAAAAGGCTGGCGTAGGTACCATACAGCTGAGGACCAGCGGGGAGATGTCGACCAGACTTGTGGAACAAAGGACTAGAGAACAAGGACAAAGCTATCAGAGGGTGAGGTCCAGAAAAAACGAAGGCGCTGATGCGAGCACTTTAATAAAGCACACAGCACTGCTTCACTATACTGGAGGACTGTGTGAGACTGGGTTCTGAGCTCAGTTACAGCCTAGTGTTAATCAAGCTAAGATCAACAGTTCGAACTTTATACGACAGTTACTTGGTCTTGCACAAAGATAGAAAATTCTGTTCCACGGTTAAATCTGCCTTTTTTGCCTCATGAACCATAACACAGAGGCAAACTGTTTTGGTTCAAGTAGGAATATGTGACAGGACAAACCATCAATCATACTGGAAAAACACCTACGAACTGATAGTTGCTCAACACTGTCAACTTTGTAAGAGGCAAAACAGATGTGCAGTCACATAACATCCTAGATTACTGAGGCCCAAAGTCACAAACAAGGAAGGATGACATTGTCCCTCAGATCTACACACTTAACTTCCTCCCCTTTACTGACTCCATTTACTCTTCAATATCAAGCGTGAGTGAAAGAAATTAAAATGCTTGACATGGGAGATATGTAGATTTTTGTTAATGAAACAATGTCTTCTCTTATAGTGGCCATGCTGTCTATGATCCCCTCAGATCCAGGACCCTGGTTCTAAAGCTTGGAAGTTACTGTGCCAGAAGTGACTGCAGACTGACTCTCTGTGGGCAGCTGAGGGCAGCTAGTGTCTGTCAACTGCAAGGAATGAATGGGCTAACTGAGCCCCGGCCTGGAAATATGACTAAGAAAACAGGCACACTTTTCAGAATGCTTTTTGAGGAATGGGAAAATGCCCCCGTCCTTTGACAAATATTTACACACCAGGATACCAGAGCAGTGAGCTACTGCCCAACGGTAGGCAACTACCTACTGGGCAGGGAGCAGGAGCACTGCCAGGAACACACCGGAGCACGGTCTAGACTAGAGAAAGGGCCTACAGAGGAGCACGCCTGAGCAGCCACAGGGAAACCACGCCGGGCACGAGGCCGAGCTCCGAGATAGGGCGGCTGGGGCTGAAGAAAGGCACCCTCTGCCCGCAGCTCCGACATCTGAGGCAAGAGGCCCAGGCAGGCCACAGGACTCAGGCTGCGGCGAATCTCCTACCCGCTGTGAAGCCCTACAGTTAACTGGAGCTAGTTGTTTTAATAATAATGAATCAAAGTACAATTAGAACGGTGTATTCTCAAATCTAAGTTTTTGATCTAACTCTGCCTGAGGGTATATAGTGGTGCTACATGATGCCTCTAGGTCTGCGAAAACAGCTACGAATGCCAGAATGATTTGCCCAGCAAGTCCAGATTCCTAGGCTGCAAACTACTCTCTAGAACGTACAGAGAGATTAGCCAGAAAAGACTGATAAAATTCTTCTGGAATTCTACAGGTTATGAAGCTAAACCCTTCAATTCAAAGGATGAAGTAAACAGGTAGACGACCTGCTGGTCAACGCAGGCCACACCTTCCACAGGGCAGTCAGGTTACATATCTTACCAGGCAATAAGATAAAAGGGGATGTGAAAGAAATCAGATAAAGAAATAAGGACAGCCAAACACATGAAGGCCATGGAGACATACCTTCTCAAGATGCCTATCAGAGAGCTATTACCTTTGGAACCATTAAACAAAACTACATAAACAAGTGTCATACTACCTAACACAACTGATCAAGAACAGAGGACTACTGATCCGATATGTCACAGTATGTCTCCTTAGAAAATTCCTCTTTTATTGCTTTCGCCCTGCCTCCAACCAAGGTTTCTCTTCTGAGAGGGAACCGGCCTCCTCCAAAGTCAACTAGTTCATCAGCTCTAAGGAATGGCCTGAGCTCTTTTTCATTTCCCCTGTTTCCCAGTGGGAGGGAGTTCGGTGGCCTTAACGCTCCTTCTCCTTACTAAGGAC